TAGGTACTTAGATGCTAAAATGGTCAAAGGTTTAGGTACTTAGATGTTAACATGGTCAGAAGTTAGTTACTTAAAGATGCTTAATTGGTCATAGGTTCACCTGTTTGACGTCTCCATTACTCTGCTCCTTGTTCTGGCACTTGTGAGCATGCAGGAGCAGCACCAGCTGCTGCTGGATGAGCTTGAGCTTCTCAAGGTCTGCTGCTGCTCTGGGTTGCGCACCACCGCCAGCAGCAGCTAGTCCACCCTGCACCCCATCAGGTCTGTTGGGCACTGCAGAACTGGTCGGGACCATGGGGCCACCGCCTCCTTCCATCACTGGGGACATGCCAGCAGCATTTGCATTAGTATGTACATCCAGTTGTATCTGCTCCAGCTGTTCTACAAGCTGGCCCAATGCTGCCGAGACGAACAGCATTTACTATTTTAGTAGATTTCCATTATATTATTACTATTTTTTTAAACATTAGCATAATTTTACATTCTATGTTTGTTTGATATTCGTCACTATTGTTTTTGCTCATGACAACACATCCAAAATAGAAGTATATTGAGACAAAATAGAACAGTTGAATTGCAATGGAGTTTAGGTTGCACTATACTTACACATTATGGAGCCAAACCAGGCAAGTAACAGCTTCTCTGTAGCATCAATTAGAGCTTTTGAAATTTAGTCTTTTGAGAGAACTAAACTAACATTTATAATTATGAGTCTGGAAAGAGAAGAGCACAAGTGAGTAAATATAATGTAAGCTGCGGTCACACAAATAATAATTAAAAGTCAGGCAACACCAGTAGGGCATATTAAAGCTATTAAAGCATAGCAGCAAACAAGAGACTGTTTAGTTGCCCTCCCTGCTAGAGTCCTATGAGTAGATTAGTTAAGTAACATGGATACCTGCATCATTAATAGATATTCAATAAAATTTTGAAGTAAATCAGGTAATTTAAAAGTTTTAAAAATCTTTTGTTTAATTTGTTTAAAAGCAGCCACTATCTGTACATTCTAGAATATTCAGCATAATCTGCCTATAATTAATTATTTTTGGCAAATTAATTTGCCTGAGTTTTTTGGAAAAATGTCCATTTCACTTTTTATGCACAGAAGTGAAATATAAAAAAATCACAAGATTTTTTACATTTATATGCGTTTGAGTGATTTAATAAACCCAATTAAAATTTGCACCAGAAAAAGTAAGTTGAAAAAGCTTATTGCATGCATTATTTTCATCTAATATCAAGTATTCTGAACAAGAAGAGGCGATTAAAAAGCGGCTCAAACTAATCTGCATGGGGAGTTGTATCAAAATGTATATATCGTGTATTGGCTCCATTTTCATCCATGAGCCTCTGAACATGATGTAATTTAATAAATTTATGAATTAATGTATACTCTTAATGTATTGTAATGATCTAGAAAAGTATGATAGTCCATTAATTTATGTTATGTATTGGCATATATAGGTTTGGCAATATTTATTCTAAAATTACTATATCTATTTAATATTTAATGTTGCTGTGGTGATCTTTGAGCAAGGTCAAAAATGTAACTTAGTTTTTATGTACATAAACTTGGTATAAAGAAAACATAACTAAATATTTATGACACTTGGTAAGTGTTCAAATATGTAGGCCAGGGTCCAGGTTGAGAGGCCAGGGTTATGGCTGAAAGGCTGGGGTCCTTTTTGAGAGGCTAGGTTGGAGGCTGACAGACCAAAGTCCAGGTTGAGAGCCCAGGGTCGAGATTGAGAGGCCAGGGTAGGGATTGAGAGGCCAGGGTAGAGATTGAGAGGCCAGGGATAAGGCTGAGAGGCCTGAGTCCAGATCGAGAGGCCAGGGTCCAGGCTAGGGTCCATTTTGAGAGGCTAGGTTGGAGGCTGAGAGACCAAAGTCCAGGAAGAGAAGCAAGAGTCCAGGTTGAGATGCAGGGTCGAGATTGACATGCCAGGGTCCAGGTTGAGAGGCCATGGTCCAGGATGACATGCCGGGGTCTATTTTGAGAGGCTAGGGTGGAGGATGAGAGACTAAAGTCCAGGTTGAGAAGCAAGGGTGCAGAGAGATTCCAGTGCAATGGGTCGTCTTTATTGGTTAATTGAGGGAAGGTATTCAAGGTTCTTTACAATCCAAGGGGTTAAATTAAAGATAGCCTCCCAACTCCTCTATAGCCATCCCTGTCCACCGGGTGTTTAAAATTCTCTTTGTTGTTAACTTTATTTAATGCTAATACAAGACTTAATTCTGCAAAATATTTACACTATCAACACGTAATGCCACTATTATCAAACACAAACATCAATACAAACTTCAGACCATATATACACAAACTATCAAGCAGAATAATGAATAAATATATTTCTCATCTATAACAGTATTATCAAAAACTCAGTATTAAAACTTTAATCAATGGATATACTGGCACTGGCAGTGATTTCAAAAGGTATATTATGGCAACCACTCACCAACCACAGGCAGTAGTGTGAATATAGATAATGGCTGATAGGAGATTTGGAATTTGAATCACCACTGACACATAAAATAATGATCTGCAAAAAGGGCAAAGAGAATGAGACAGAGAGCACTGATAAACACAAATATAGATAACAATCACCATGAATATCCAGATTCAAAATAATTTAACATTAACTTGGAACTGGGGGAGGCAGGGAGCGTTACTTCCCCAAGTGAGACCAATCATCAAGGCAACCACTACTCTCCAGTCTCCACCAGCAGTAAGAGCTAAGAGTGACAGCCCAATGAGCCCATAACACCAGGGTTGAGATTGAGAGGCCAGGGTCCAAGTTGAGAGGCCTGGGTTCAGGCTGACCGGCCAGGGAGCATTTTGAGAGGCTAGGCTAGGGTGTAGGCTGAGTTGCTGAGAGATCAAAGTCCAGGTTGAGGTTGAGAAGCAAAGGTCCAGGTTGAGAGGCAGGGTTGAGATTGAGAGGCCAGGGTCCAGGTTGAGTGGTCACAGTCACAGTCCAGGTTGAGAGGTCAGGGTCCAGGTTGAGAGGGCGGAGAGGCCACAGTCCAGATTTAGACTTTAGAGGCCAGAACCCCACCTTTCATTCTGTTAATTTCAATCATGATTGATTCATTTTCTTCTACAAATTTGCTTTCAGAAGTGGTTCCAGCCTTTCAGGCATATTGGTAATTGGTGCTTATGTATAGGTTTCAGAAACATATTGTTATGTATGCATTAATGCATGTAATTTTTATTTAATCTTCAAATTTTGCATGTGCACTCACTATTGTACTCGAAAGTCGAAACAATGTTTAATTATTTCAATGCAAAAACTTATCTAATTTTCCCAGTCCCACTATAGTCAAATAAAGATTGGATTCCCATGGCCTGTTGCCAAGTGCCAACTTGCCATGGGAATATGCCCATGGCAACAGGCCATGGACCTATTTCTTCAGTGCCGACACTTTTATTCTATTCTAACAAGTGAATGGCACCACGGATTCCCAAGATCAGCGCTTCGCTGTACTGCGTAGTTGGCGGCGCCGGCAAAGAGTAGAGTTGCACCACCGAAACGAAGCAGGGACGCTTACCAAACACGTTCACAAGAACTAGCGCCAATTCCTCATCATGACAATAATATTACAGAGCATTTTTGAAAGGCGACCCGCCGCGACCGTATAGTACATATACACCTGCTGGTCGTTAAAGGGTTAAGTATCAAAATTCAGACCCTTTTACTGAACGGTCGTATCCGGGTAATACTTAGAAGCTAAGACGACGAAGTCGCTGAAGCGGCGAACGATTGATGAATGGAATGTCGCGGCTGAATGAATTTCGCAAGAAGTAAAGTAACGGTTTTGATTATCCTATGTTGAAAAATTTGGCACGAAAAGTGGTACACAGCCGTGCACCACCAAATTTGGGGAGCGCAGCCCTACACCACAAATTTAGCTCGTAAACAAGCCCTAGCGCCAACGCCTACCCTATAATGCAATAACTAAACTCAGCTCACACCCAAGAAGCTGTACGTAACTGAGTCATCTCCCCACATCAACTTTAAGCAACATCTACCTCACTCCACAGCCTGCTGAATCAAATAGTCAATTGTCAACAGGTCCTACTCCACAAAATGTTACCCCATACTATCACTTCTTACACACGCCGTAAGCCTTACTGGCCGCAGACCACGCCGGATCACCGTAAACCTGCTCTGCTATTTGCAGGACTGGCGTAATCCCGCCGCACTCCACGGGCAGAAGCGCAAACCGCCGTCCCTATAACGCCATGCCCCTGCTCTCCCCCTTCACAGCCATAAGGCTTTCTTCAATTGCTGATCAGTTGTGCGCCAGGTTAGGTTAGGATAGGATAGGTTAGGTTAGGTCCCTCCATCGCCCAGACGCATTACGTACTGATCGGGCAACGAGAAAAGCCTTCTGCTGGCTGCGAAGGGGGAGAGCCGGGGCAAGGCGTTATAGGGACGGCGGTTTGCGCTTTAGCCTGTGGAGTAGAGCGCCATGAAGCAGTGGCTGTGACGTAACGGCGCTGTTGTGTCGGGCGCTTATTTTCAAAAGCCGCGAAGACGCCAGGCTGTGTTTAATACAAGCACGCAAGGCTCTACCAGCACACTTGGACTGCCTTTCTAACTTCTTGCAGCCAATGAGGTTAGGTTAGGTCCGCTCAGGTTTGTTTTGGGTGAAGAAAGGTTGCAGCTCGTATAGGTTAGGTCTGAAGAGGTTCGGCCAGATGCAGTAAGGCCATGTTTACGTTTGGCAAGCTTATTTTGTTGCTGTGGACATCCGGCGTTATGGCTTCGAGCACTTGACTTCATAGGCCGTTAAGCACTCTAGCGTTCTTACCTATGGAAAGGAATATTAACTAAGTGTGAAGTGTGGCAAAGCTGGCTTACGGCATTCGCCCCCTTTTTTAAAATGCATTCGCCTGACGAAATTCACTTGGCCTTTTGGGGCCTTTTTTATGAAAAATGTAATTCTCGACTTTCATTGCAATAATTTTGACCTTCACTTATTATTCAGTTTTGCCTAAGACAAGTACACTCAAATTTCGACACGTAACTGTGTCAACACTTCGGTTTAGGTGATAACACTGGCGAGTTCCGCCTAATCCGGGAAACACCGGATTAGTCCAGTTGCTGACTCGTATTAATAACGGGTCGCCTGCCGAAGACCACCACTGCCCTGGATGTAATGGACCATCATGATTCCTGCCTTCCGGAACGTAGCCTTCAACACTTTAAGCCGTCCATATCTAGGCCGTGGGTCGAACCAGCCCTCGGTCGAACGGCCACTGGTCGAAGGACGATAAATTTTGGAACAGAACTATGCTATCTGAAACCTAACCTCAGATGCGGTGAACGTAAAATTACATAATTTAACGATGCCCGGAAGTCAGATTCGATCCGCGGCCTAGTGGTGCACGGCAGGTTCTATGCGAGGCCGACGGAAGACAAAGCCGAGTAGTTCACGGCTGATTGGTGGATGTCCGGAGATATCCAATGCGTTCGATTCAAGGCTTATTGGTGCACAAAATTGGTGGTGCACGGCTGCGCTCCCGGCCGTGGGTCGAACCAGCCCTCCATTCCTTTTTAATAACCATGGATGGCATAGCTGAGAGCGCGTTTGATCGAGTATAGTTTTCACTTTTAAAGACTAGTAAATAAAATACAGCATAAATATTTGAGGTTACAGCGCTGTTTGTCGATACATTCAGCCTACTTGTGTGAGTCACTAAAAAATTTCACTCTGAATAAATATAATAACTACTCCTTTCCAAGTTACGATAGGCACTATATTTTTTTCCAACAATTCAAAAGTTGAGATAAATTTATAGGATAGACTTTTAAAATTTACCTTAGTCTTGCAAAGACCACATCATCTTTCTACCGCAGAAATGAGTTTGAATTTATTTTTATCTTCCACGTATAAATATTCTACCGTCAATACCAAAACTTCGCCACATCACTTATGTCGCCGGCCACTTCACTATCTATTTTGTTAGCAAAACTGAGCCAAAACTCTCTAACGCGACCGAAAAGCTTTATAGTTGTTAATGGCAATCGAATCCTAAATATCATAGTTCTGACCAGTATTATACGGTTTTATTTACGGTCGGCGAGTAACGTGTAATTCGCTGTAGGCAGGCGCCTAGCGGCCTATGTAGCATTGACGGTAATTCAGCTCGTACACTTGGTGAAATTGGTGTATTTTTGCTATCTGAAAGCCTTGAGAATAAACACATGCACTGCAAATGGTTAGAAGTACCTTATTATAGAAGAAGAAATTTATAGAAATTTTTATAGAAGAAGTACCTCATAGTAATTTAAAAATTTCTTATTAATTTCAAATGGGGCGAGTTAAATTGGTCTGCGAGTTAATTTTTTTGCGAGATAAATTGGCCTTTTTCTCTTGACTCCATCTGGAAACCCTGGATCAGACGCTCTTACGAGTACTTTGATGAAAAACCGATGAAGCAGTTGTTCGTTGATGTCGTGCGTACGAACCTAGAGTTTGGAAACGCATTGTGGTGACCAAAACTAGAAATGACAAAAATTTAGTCAACAGTGTTTGAAGATAATTTATATAGAGATAGTTAATTTAACACGGACAATTTTAGGATTAAAAGGCAAGTCATGTGAAGAAAGATTAAATATTCTGAAGCTTCCAAGCCTCAGTTATCGACGTCTGCGTGGGGACCTCATCGAAGTATACAAGTATACTCATTGTAACAATCGAAAAATTTTTAGTTAGGACTGTAAATTCAAAATTTCGTTCGAATCTGTTTAGTAGTTTGGAAGAAATTACTTGATCACTGTGAATTTCGGCCCGTATTGGCGTATAACTATGGCAAAAACGAACGATGACAAAATTCAAACAATTTTCACGAGCAAAACATTACCGTTAGGTCCTAATGAATACGTGTACCAAGTTTCATAGAGTTAAGTTCATTAGTTTGAGAGATATTCCTTGATCATTGAATTTGAAGATTGGCCGTGAGACCGGCCTCGAGTCCGGCCGTTAATTTGTCCGAGACGTAAACCCAGGAGAGCTAGGTTTAAAAAAAGCAGAAAAAAACATCGCTGGGAGTCGTGTGCTGCACGTGTTGTGTACAAATCGTCTAACAAACGTTCGAACTTCTGACATTGACTTCGGACAGCCGCCCCCCTACCGCCCTCTTCTTCTTTATCGCCCCCCAAAATCTCTCTGCCGCCCCTTGGGGGGCGATATTGCCCACTTAGGGAACCACTGGACTAGATGAAGCTAAGGAGTAATATATGTGCAGACTTGAAATGCCTAACACCATATCGAACCCGGTGGAAGTCTAGTAGCTATTGCAAACTATCGAGTTTGGAAAAGATCCCGTCGAAGGACATGTTTTCAGATCTCCTGTGGGCAAGTCACGAAAAGTACAAGAATCGGCGACAGGCCACATCAGGCCTACACTTCAGCGCCGGCATCATTATGTTAAGTTACTACTCAATAGCTTGAAGCCAAGTCGCATGCGCCTTACTGAGATTTGGGTGAAATATGCTTATTTACCATTCTATGGCACTGCTTGTGTCAAAATAGAGTGGCACATGGTGATGTTGTTTGCATTTTGGTCCATCAATCCTTGAGTTTCCAAGAAATCAAGCTGAATGCAGGTGCGCAGGCCATCAAGGGGCGCTTGGTCTCTGGTAGCTTCTCTCTTTCATCTCTACAATCCCAATGCTGCAGTATATTTTCCAGAGCTTCTTCACTTGACTGAACAGCTTGATAAACCTTTCATTTTAACCTGCGACTTCTACGCGCATTTCCGTATAGGTATACGTGGCTAATATAAGGATCAAATTCACTATGTGCCCCATTCAAATAGTCACGGTGCATTCATGCTTCTCCACTATTTTTGTGTACGGAGCGAACTTACGAACTTTACGGATTTCTGCATTGAGCGAACGTTCCTCCTGAACGAGAAAAATTTCTGTACGGAGCGTGTCGTCGTGAACGTGAAACACCTCATTTAAAATTAGCAGGTTACTTTTCGATCAACAATATCAAGATTATATATCATTGTTTTGCTTAGGTGGCGTCAGTAAGCCAAGGTTAAATAAATGAACTATTTTTAGGGTTTATTATAAAATAATCAAATCTTTCGATTCAACACTTCCTCATTGATCAACAGAGAACATAACAAAAAAGGAAAACACTTAAAATTCCTCATTGACCGCGAGCAGGGAGGGGAAGAAACAAAGCCGAAGATTACTTAAGCAGCCAGGAAATTCAAATTCGGTCTTTGGGTATCAATTTAGAATAAAACTCGGGGTAAAATTTACAGCTTGAAGAATAAAAATTTTTAGCGATAAGGAAATATCAATTAGATCATTTAATTATTAATTAGAGAGGGAGCTCGCGAAACGTTACAATAGGGTTAGAGTGAGACACTCAGCACCGAACGGTCGTCAAATTACAAGCCAATGAGGAACTACAATTCATGTATTAAATCAATCAAGGAGAAATGAATTGAAGGCCAAGCTAATTTTCTCTTAAAAAGGAGGAAATACAACATGGAAATGATAAATTGAGCTGAGGCAACAGGTCATATTGCGCCCGTAAAATGCGAAGGCAAAATAGCAAATAAAAGGAAGCCTGGACCAAAGGCCCGACACAAGAAATAACAAGACGGCAGCACGGTTTCTTCCAACAGCAACAAGAATTGTTGGATTCAAGTAAAATTCAGAATTAGAAGAATGCTGAGTAAAACACTAACGCCCTGCAGCTAAACGCCATCATCAATTATATATGTGCCCAGGCTTCAGAGACCAGCGTCCACGAGGGATGGGCTTAAAACAAGTATTACACAGCGAATCGTTGTAAATTAAAATAAATAATTAGTAGTTGTGAAATCAAGGAAGACAGAAGGAAGTGAAGCAAGACAGTTGGGCACGCTCCTAACAACAGAGATCACGAGCAGCATGGCTGAGCATCAACAAAATAACCTCCCCATCATTAGCCAATATAAAACAATTGTAGTATGAAAACCCCATCAGTACGTACACTTTACACATTTATTAGGTATCGCAAATTATATACATTACTTCAGTGAAGCTTAACATGTAGCTATATATATTTATAATATATATAATTCATGCAGATGACACTGCAATCAATATAACAAATCACAATTGGAGTTTGAGAATCTCATCAAAGTAATTACAGTGACTTTGTACAATCGCATAAGAATTTCGGGGCGTATATACAGGCAGAGGCAGGAGGCCGGGCCGAGCTATACTATAAGGTATCGACAAGTTTGGAGAGCTGGTCTTGTGGGGTGAGGTCTGGAGCTTCAGAGTCCAAAGTGGGGCCTGAAGACTGCGAGGGAGGAGGCGGAGGGATGAGTACTTGTTGACCACCACCACCCTGAGGCTGACCCATGAGTAAGTTCTCTTGTGGACCGTTACCGCCCGACACCACAGGGTGGGGTGACTGCACTTGATTAACTTGGTGGGGAGAAGGTACAGCAACAGACCTTGGGGAAGGAAGGGCTTGGTGGGGTCGCGGCGATGGCTGAGGGCTACGTACTGCTTGCTGTAAACCTCCACCTGGAGGTGGGGATGTGACGGACTGCATGAGTTGCTGAGGAGACTGCGAAGGCATCGAAGATAAACCAGTGACACAAGGACCAGGGGATATCGCTGAGCTACCACCTTTCAATTGCTGTTGTAATAGCATCTTTTGCTGCTGCTGCTGTTGTTGAGGATGCTGAGGCTGCGGTGACTGCTGAGGAGGTAAAGACTGATGTTGTGATACTTGTACTTGCTGCTGAGAGTTGAAGCCCATGGCAGCAAACTGCTGCCCCTCCATTTGCTGGGGTACGAAATTAGGGTGAGACTGAGGACCAAAATGTCGACGTTGCACCGCTGCAGGATTCATGGGCGGCTGAGGCTGTTGAAAGCCAACCTGCTGTTGTTGCTGTCTCATGGCTATTAATTTCTGTTGTTGATACCACTGTTGGTTAGGCATCTGGTTGTGTTGCATTGCCCCGCCCAAATGTGGGCCTTGTTGTGGGCCGCCCTGACTACCCGCCATCGGTACACCCATAGTCATGCCTGGCGGTTGTTGTTGCTGTTGTGGCTGTTGCTGCATCGACATTTGCATTGTAGGAGGCTGTTGCTGTTGTTGTTGTTGCTGCTGCATCGGCACATGTAAACCAGTTTGCTGCTGCTGTTGTTGTTGCTGCATGGTCATTCCCTGTTGTTGCTGCTGATACATCCCAGTAGTTTGAGGAGCCTGCTGTTGCTGACTAGCCTGCTGTTGTTGCTGCTGTCCCTGCTGCTGCTGCTGCCCTGGCTGCTGGTTCTGTTGCTGCTGCAGCATTTGTCGCTGCTTGATGAAGGCCGCCATAAGCTGGGGATGTGTCTTCAGTATATTCAGAACCTCAGTTTGCTGATTGGGTGTCGTGGGACTACGGAACTTCTGCAGAAGTTGTTGCAGGACGAGTGTACTGCGCTGCTGGGGCTGCTGCGGCTGTTGCACAGGAGGTCCCATCACCTGATGACCAGCAGCTCCTCCTATAGAACCCGCGGCCACGGCACCTGCAGGGTTGGGGCCAGCCACGGGCGCCATTGCTGGGGCCGAACCGTTTGCAGGGTTCTGGATGAGAGTCGGTCTCATGCCTCCTGTACCGTTCGTTTGACCAGGAACAGCATTTGGATATCTGGAAAAGTCAAGATGAAATGAGTGGGGTCGAACAAAATGAGTGGGATCGTGGCATAAATATTGTCCTGAAGTATTTGTATACTTTTTTCCAGGTATTTGTCGTACAATACAGAAATTAGGGCTATATGCATTGGGGAGGAATGAAATTGATTTAAACAACTCCGAACTTCACACTTTCATTTCTAATCGCAAATGTCATCAGAAACTATTGGCTATTTCTTCAAGGACACTGACAAGCATTTTAAATTTTAGAAACATGACCAATAATGAACTGTTGACAAAAATGAAAAATGAACTGAGGAGGCGCGAGCATTGGATGTAGTTAATAAATAAAGCTGCGTAAGCGTAAGAGATTCGGTGACGGTTTACAGAAGTCGATGATATCACCACTGTACGTAAGCTGGATCAAAACATCTCTGGAAAGAGACAATAAATTCACGAACCTGTTCCAATTGTCCATGGTGGGCAGTGTTCTGTTGGGCAGTTGTTGTTGTTGCTGCTGCACTTGTTGCTGCGGCTGCTGCATGAGATGCTGCTGCACCATAGTATTGGGTTTACCCACAGACATTTGATTGATAGGTTTGCCCATGCTCGCCATGATACCGTGCTGCTGAGGATGTTGCTGCTGCTGCATAGGATGCTGCGGACGTTGTTGCTGCTGTTGCTGCATTGGGTGCTGCCCTTGGTAGACGCTGACCATAACGCCGTGGCCAGGCCCTTGGTGGCCTCCACTGACACCCAAGGGGCTTCCTTTACCGTAGCTTCCCACCGCCGTGCTCGGCCCAACCTGACGCGCAGCTTGCGCCTGCACCTGATCAATGACACCACCATTAATTCAACGCCTGCACCTGATCAATCACACCACCATTAATTCAACGCCTGCACCTGATCAATCACACCACCATTAATTCAACGCCTGCACCTGATCAACCACACCACAATGAATTCAACGCCTGCACCTGATCAATCACACCACCATTAATTCAACGCCTGCACCTGATCAACCACACCACAATGAATTCAACGTCTTCACCATTAATATCAACTTATCTCAGGATGCTAACAATGCTGTTTGAAACGTCTCTTAACTAGGAATAGCCGCCCGTAGACAAAAGATTGGATTAAATGCATCAATTCAATCTAGAAGAACTGAATGAAAAAGTCAAAATAGCCAGTAATTAACCTGAAATGAATGAGAATCCCGAATCTTTGTGAAGATGAATCAGGTGTAACTGAATGAGGATTATCTAGAACTCGAAAACTGTTTGCATCAGTGAAGTAAAAACATTCCCATCGTAGATCTAATAAATGGAATGTGAAACTCGGATATCAGTGGGAAGCTCATGAATATTGTTGACTGGATGAAATGAACTAGAAATTGTACTAATACTTTCATTATGGCGCATGTATGCCTAACAAAAATACAGAAGTTAGGTATATAACAGCGCAATGCTGATATCTTCAACCGCCTCCAGAAACTTGGGTTAAAGCACCCGTTTAGGGGCATGAACAAATCTATCTCACCTCCTTGACAGCCTCCAGAACGTTGGGTGAGGGCGCCTGGGTGACCCCTTGTGGGGGAGTAGGTGCGGGCGTGGCGGCAGCCTCCTGTGTGTTGTAGGAGGGCGCAGCCTGTACAGGTTTGCTGACGCTTGGTGCAGCACTCGAACTAGCGCTGCCACCCAGAACACCAGCGTTCATTTGCTGCATTCTTCTCTTCATGAGCTGTTGCTGCTGCAGTCGTTGCTGCATTTCCTGCTGTCTAACTTTCTGTTTGATGTTGCAACAATAAGGCACCACGCAACGCTGATCTTTACAGCTGCGCGCGTGGAAGCAACACAAAGCAATAAGTTGTTTACAAATGGAACATCCACCACTGCTCTTCTTTTTACACATCTTCGTGTGGCCCAGAACTCGTTTCATCTTCTGGCAAGCAGGGTGACGACAGTTAGCATCTCGGCACTGAGCTGAGTGAACGACGCTGTGAATGCAACGTTGGATGGATTTACGTCTCAACTCTTGCGGGTTCAGGTTTTTGTTATCAGCCGAGCCCATGCCATCATCAATATCCAGGCCAAGCTTGATCATCTTGTGCTGATGACCATCTTTGTTATAACACGCTTTGCACAGGTCAAAATCGTCACACTCTTGGCAGTGGTAAGGCGATTCGACATGCAACTTGCAATTGTTACATGTGTAAACAAACCTATCTTGTCCTTGGTTGTGCAGCTCATAGAGCATTGTCATGGTGGAGAATTTAGCTCGACGTAACGAGGAGAACTCCAAGTGTTTCTCACTAGCAAGCGTGAGGAAAGCGTCACGACCATCCATGAGATCGCACACAATGGTGGGATCTGGGTCCTGGATCGGAGGTAGACTGACTGCGCTCTGAGCGCTGTGAAGGCGAATCACGAAGAAAACATCCTTATGTTTCTCCATGGTTACAAAAATCTTTTGGGCTAAATCGTTGCAGCACTGAGCACTACTCTTGCTTTTAGACTTATTCTTGACCTGATTCTTGTTCTTGTTCTTGGTTTTGTGCTTCTTCTGACCCTTCTTCTTGCCGTCCAAGCAGACCTCTTCTTCTTCCTCGCCACCTAATGCTGCTTGTGCAGCTTCAGCTGCGGCAAGAGCTGCTTCTTCTTGTTTTCTCTTCTCCTCCTCTTCTTGGTCGAGCTCTTTAATGCTCTCCTCCATGACATTCGGCCAGAAGTCTCCCTCAAAATAGGGCAACTCTGCAGGCGACTTGACATGGTCCTCGAAAGCTTGTTTGTGTATGTCTTTATAGTCGAGAACCACGCGCTCAATGATGCCCTTGTCGAGCATCTTCTTGTACCAGTCTTGTAGACGCTTAGGTTTAGGTATTTTCTGTTCAGGAGGATGGCAGTGGAAAATATAATCATCCCCTTCGGAGGGTGGACACGCCCAAATGTGCGCCATGGTGTACCTGTACAATGCAAATATTTCAATGATAAAATAGTAATTAAACTTGCAATTGACAATAGATTGCCAGAAATTAGCCCTAGCCTTAATTAATAGTCAATGAAAATCTACTCAAATTTTCAAGTCTATCAACATTGCAATTATACATGGAAATAAAAAAAAGGGTGCAATTGAAACTTGGTTAACTGACCTATTGAAAAAAACTCTTAGAAAAACATCAACAAAAATCAGTTCAGCGCTATTTATTCTGTTTGTTCAGAGTTATTTATATCTCATCAACATTATAGCGGAGGTAGAGAATGTAAGAATGTTATCCAGCAGACGCACCCCAGTTGCCTGACATAGTCGAGGTAGCCAAGCAAGATCTCATGATACACGGCAGTTCTGTACTGGCGCGGCTTGAAGAAGTGCACCGAGTCGAGGTAGGCAAGATACACGCGCCGGCAGTTGGGAGGCGGGCTCTCTGAGCCGTACTCCTGCACATGCATGCCGAAGAAACACACGTCCGTGCCGTCTATCTCCTCGAACGCAAACAACGCCTTTGCGCGGTATGGGAACTCGTTGGACAGTTGACCAGTGTCAACAAATCTGGGAGACAAGATAGTGTCATTATTACTAAGATAGTGCCAGTATTATCAAGATAGTGCCATTATTACTAAGACGGTGTCATTATTACTAAGATAGTGCCATTATTGCAACACACAGAGGTTCCGAGGTGCAACAGTTAAGAGACACAGGTCATACGTCAATGCAGGTAAACAGTCTAGAATTTCAGGTCTAGACTAACCAATGGAAATAATTCACAAGAAAACCATCTTCTCATCAAAATACCATATCAGCGCAAATGTTAGCACAAAATCAAGTATCACTTAGCTATTTGTGAGCTCACCCATAAAAGACAATTCAAATGAATAAGAAAGCAATAAGCAAGAAACTTGATGATACAATGCCCTGGTAGAATAAGAGTAAGCCACTCACCGTGCCTTCATGCCGGCCTTAACTTCAACCGTTTTTTCCGTTGAGGACACAACTCTGATGACAACTTCTCCCGCGCCAGCCTCCTTCTTCTTGAGGAAATTATTCACTCTGGTCTCGAGATAATTGGAGAGCTTCGTGGTCTGCAGTCTTCTGGCTGTAAACTTGTTCTCTTTCCTGGTCTGCCCCTTCTTCTTAAGGCAAAAATCACAAGAAAAACCCGTGTTCCAAATAGCTTCCAGGTGAAGCACGCAGATCTGGTGCTGCTTGCGGCCGCACTCGTTGCACTGGACCAGCGGCTCCAGCTCAAGGGCGTCATTCTTGAGCTCCTGGAACTGCGATTTCTTGATGCTCATTCCCGAGATGCTGGGATCATCACCGAGCACCACGGCGTCGCCGGGTATGTCGTTGAAGCATTTGTAGCAGTAAGTGTATCTGTTAAGTAAATAATATTGTGGTAAGTTGCTGACGCAATAGGGTCATCAGGAACATCGTACAAGTGTTGACATCAAATTAAAAAATTTGGTAGGTGAATCTGTCTAATGAATATCATGGGCGACGTATCTGTACTTAGGATCAGCAAAGAATCAAAGATGTTTAATGCTCAAGAGGTGTAATTTCCGCGGGAATACAATAGTTTTATGGTAACACAGTATTGTCATTGTGATTATCTGACCTGTTCTGATACATGAAGTATTTGGCGTCTCTAGGGATGGTGCAGAGCTGCTTGCCGTAGCAGCAAAGCACTTGTGGGTTGAAGGTGTGCTTGCGGCCGCAGCAATACCCCAGCTGCTGCATCACCGGGTCAATCTCTTGCTCGAACACCTCAGCCAACTGCACACATACAGGCCTTCATTGTCCTTACTTCGTAAACTATTAATGTTAGTATCTCGCACGAACACCTCAGCCAACTGCACACATACAGGCCTTCATTGTCCTTACTTCATAAACTATTAATGTTAGTATCTTGCTCGAACACCTCAGCCAACTGCACACATACATGCCTTCATTGTCCTTCCTTCATAAACTACATGCCTTCATTGTCCTTACTTCATAAACTACATAAATGTTAGTATCCACACATTGCTACTAAGAAGAGGTATATTTAGGGGTTCATACAGGGAGAATTACAAATTGATCAAGGTTGATATAATTTAAGCGGAATTATTTTATATTGCTGTGCAGCAACAAGCAATTTACCTAAAAATTTTGTTAAATATGAACTGAATGGCATCATACTGATTTTTCATGCGTGTTACTTGCCAAAAAATGAATGTGGAGAAAAAAATTCATGGTGACAAAAAATCAGCATAGTAGCAGAATTTCAACTTATTTAGAGCAAAATGATTACAAATACTGAAAAGTAACTGGGACATAGTTGATAATGTAACAAGATATTCACAAATGCTACACTGCTTCCCCTTTAAGCATCTTCTTTTGATAGCAAAGTAAGGAAGTAAAATAATAATGTCTTAATAATAAAACATTATTATTTCAAAGTAGTTCATGTTCTAGTCTCACCTTTGTACAATATCTATAGACTCGTGAAGTTTTTCTGTTGTAAATCCAAGCGTTGTCAAACATGAGCCAGACGTCATCGACGTAGTCCCAGGGATCTTTGTACTGGCCGGTGTCAAGCTTTCTCTTGATGGTGGACAGGTCCATGGGCTTCTTGATGATGTCAAAGTAATCAGGGATGCCAAGCTGTGATGGATCAACAGGCATTCTGAAGGGTATGCTGTCTGGTTCTTGTCTGTAGAGCATCTCCATGGTGGGCACCAGGTGCTGACGAAGTTCGTCTGGCTTGAAGAGCGGAGGGAATTCTTTGTTGGAGGTCTTCCCTACACTGGGAGCAGCGCTCGTAGGAGGCGTTGGGGTGCCAGTGCCAGACCCACCACCAGGTCCTTTTGAAGAGCCCCCAGGCTTGCAGGAGGGGCCATCATTGCAAGGCTTGGATAGAGCGAGCGTAGACGAGGTGCTGGTGGTGGAGGTGGTGACCACTACAGCTGTCGAGGCAATGCTGGGGACTGGAGTGGATGGGGTGGTGGAAGCAGGGAGTATCGCAGGCAGTAGAGAGTCCCGGGATGGACTGCTTACTTCCATCTTCACGGCCACTATTCCATCCTTGACATCGGTGGTGTTCATAGCGCCTGGGCTGGGTGAAGGAGGCTCATCTTTAACTTCGGTCTTGATCTCCATCTTTACTTTGACATCAGCGCCCTCAGGTGACGAGGGCTCCTTCTTGACGTCCATATCCATAGGCTCTTGCTTGATGAAGTTCATGACTTCACTTTTGTCATCAGGAAGAGTAGCTGATCCACTAGTGGCAGCAAGGACAGACGAAGAGCTTGTCATTGTGGAGGTACATGGCGAGGAAGACTGGAGGCTCAAGTTGTTGCTGTCAATAACAGCAGGGCTGGACGAAGCGACTATATTAGGAGCTTGAGAGATGTGTGACAGCGAAGTGTTCGAGATGTCACCTCCGCTGCACGCAGCAACTTTTAGAGGAGCAGAAATAGGGATGTTGGGGACATTCATGGCGGTTGAAGTGTAAGGTGGAGGCGCCAGCTGCGGTCTGAGGGAGTTGTTCACAGAGGGAGCCATGGTGCTTACACCTCCAGGGAAGCTGGAGGTGCAAGATGAAGCAATTAATGAGCACGGCGGAATATTTACAGGGGACGAGTGTACTGAAGATGCTAGATTCGGGGAAAGGTTTGAATTACACTGTAGTGATGAGGGCAGATTGGCTGGAGACGTTACGGTGATTGAGGAGCTGTTGTAGACCTGCTGCTGCTGCTGCTGCTGCAAAGGGCTGCTCGACACCATTATGGGCGGCGCCGCACCACGAATGAGACCACCAGCACCAGGACCACCTCCAGCATTCATGGGTTTCACCATGACAGAACCCATGGGTCTGACACACTGTTGTTGTTGCTGCTGTGATATCGCGGGGTGGCCCAATGGGCTGAGGCCCGAGGAAGCAGGGAATGGCCCTCCTGAGTGTGGGCCCACGGCAACAGCGTTCACAGGACCCATCATGGACTGGGGCGGAGGAGCAGCGGTTCCATCAATGGCAGGCTGGCCTTCTCGAGGAAACTGACGGCGCTGCATGCGCTTCTCTTCGAGTTCCTTCTGGATCTTGTAGATCTTCTCAGCCAAAAGATGGTAGTATTCAGGCTGTGGAAATAATGAAGTTTGTTATTTTCTGCTTAACAGAGCAGTCCGAATAATTGCTAATTGTAAAGATTTGTAAGTTTTTAAATTTAGAATAAGTAGAAATTTCTACTTGGGTAAATTTTATGAATCTTAAAACAGCTAGAAAATCAGAATAAGTCGATACAATTAAGTTTCTAAATTTAAATCAGCCGAAAAATGAAGCAAAATGAACGTCAACAGACAGAGCGACCCAACAAATATCAAACTTAAGCATGTGAGCTGACTCACCCTTGAGCTAGCAACATGTAGCAGATCAACTCAACATGTAGCAGATCAACTCAACATGTAGCAGATCGACTCAACATGTAGCAGAGCGACTCAACATGTAGCAGATAAACTCAACATGTAGCAGATCAACTCAACATGTAGCAGAGCGACTCAACATGTAGCAGATCAACTCAACATGTAGCAGATCAACTCAACATGTAGCAGAT